CCCGAGCAGCCCGCCGCCGAGAGAGGTGCCATGTGGACCGTCCCCAACGGGCGCGCCCTGCTCCGCGCCCTGGCCCTGGCCGGCTTCTGGCTGGCCGCGGCCGCGCGCCCGCTGGCCTTTTCGGACGCGGGGCCGCACGTGCACTACGGCTGGGGCGAGCCGGTCCGCCTGCGGCACCTGTACACCGCCAGCCCACACGGGGTCTCCAGCTGCTTCCTACGCATCCGGCCCGACGGCACAGTGGACGGCGCGCGGGGCCAGAGCGCGCACAGTGAGTGCCCGCCCGGGCCCCGGCTTCCCTGGGCTCCCGCCGGCCCCCACTCCGGGGGACCCCGGGTCTCGGCCCCTCCACGTCCTTCTCTCTCTCTCTCCCCGGGCCCCCGACAGCGCGTGGAGCCAGGGAGGGACACGGCCCTGGGGACCGACGGCAGCCACGCGCTGCAGGCCTGCAGCCCCCACTGCAGATTTTTATTTTCCTTGCGCCCAGGTTTGCTCGAGATCAAGGCGGTGGCGCTGCGGACCGTGGCCATCAAGGGCGTGCAGAGCTCCCTGTATCTTTGCATGGGCGCCGACGGCCAGCTGCAGGGACTGGTAGGTGTCCCCCTGGGACGGAGCGCGCCAGACCCACGGCTGTCCCAGGTGGGGCGGAGGGTTGCTGGATCAAATCCACAGTTGCCTCCCTCCCCCCTTCCCGGGCCCTCCTGGTGCTCGGAGTCGGGGGAGACAGCCCGGGCCCAAGGAGCCGGACCGCTCCCCCACCCCCACCCCGCAAGGAAGTGGGACGAGGCTGCTGTGTTTGGTCACAGCTTGTAGCCTCCGAGTGGTGGAGAGCCGCCTATGCACTCCGAGCAGCCCAACGCCGGCCCTGCGCCCGAAGGAAACCATTATCCGCTTCCTTTTATATTAAACAGGAAAACCCACCTCGGGCCATTCAGCCACAGCCTGTGTGTGGGTGGTCCCCCCTCTGTTTCCCACTCTGTGGTTGAGGGCGAGAGAGAGAGGGAGGGCGAAAGAAGAGAGGTCGCATATTTGCTACTTGGATCTTAAAACAAAAAAAGTCACTACAAAAAAAATCAGGAAAGCATGGCACATTGGGGACCGATTAGAGTTTTTTGAATTAATTTGCGTATTAGGGGTGTATGCTGAAAAAACGGTAGCGCATGTCCTGGCTGCGCTCACCTGTACAGGAAACTTTATTTTGGGGGGAGAAGGTGTTGGGGGGGGTCCTTGGAGTCCCCGAGTGGTGCAAACGGTTAAGCGCTGTACTCCCAGCCAGCAAGATGCGCGGGCCCAGTCCACTCTGGCGCCTCGGAAGACGGGCCTGGCGGTCTGCTCCTGCGAGCTTGCAGCCTTGGCCCTGTGGAGCAGTTCTCTGTACACATGGGGTCGCCAGGAGCCCCGAACCACCCCGGGGCAACTACAGACAGTGGGGTGCACGGGAAGCCCCAGGTAACCACTTCGGGGCGGAAGCAGGAGGAAGCTGGCCTCTGGTCCGGCGGGAACAAAGGCGGGGGGAAGTTCAAAGGAGCCAGCCCTCGCCCCTCCCGCGCGGGGCCGGCGCTCCCAGAAGCCTGCGTGCAGTCCCGGGGCCCCCCAAGCAGCCTCTCCCGGGCTGGGGCGCGCGCTGGGGGCGCCGGAGACGGTGGGGGAGGCCGCGCCCCCAGGTGCCCCGCCGCCACCGGGTTGCAGATGCGGACCCCCTCCCGCGGCGCGGTCGGCCCCTTTGTGAGCCTCAGTGCTGGGCTTTTCAGCATCTCAAAAATGGTTTTGTGCCTCTGACGAGCTGTTGCTCGGAGCCCCGCTTCAAGTTTTATGGCGGAGCCGCCTGTGAAAGGCGGCAAAGAAAAGAGGTGGTCGGCGCGCTGAAAGCTGCCGCCCAGAGCCCCTCGGAACCCGCAGTGACGACTTTTGTTAGGGTGACATTTACTTATGACAGGGGCGCGCTAATGGGGACGGGTGGGAGGGGCCCGGTGGGTTAACCCAGCCTTCTTTCGTCCTCCAGACCTGGGGAGTGCGGGGATTGGGTGCGGGGGTCTCGCCACCTACAATCCCATTACGCTTCTGGATCCCGTGGGCGTGGCTTAGCAAAACCCGAGCTTTTTTTTTTTTTTTTCCTCTTAAACAGAAATTCCACATTGTCCTAGAAAGGCAATCATTTCATTTTCTCTGTGGGAAAAGAAGGCAATGTTAATTTCCTCCCAGAAAACTCCCCGAGGCCCCTGACATAATGCGTCTCCTTCTCGGGTTCTTTCTGTATCGATGGGCGGGCACCCTGCGGCCCAGGGGCTCTGTGCCCGGTCCCGAGCAGCACGTGGTTGCATCATTGCGCTTATCATCGGGTCCTTATCAGCGCATCTCACCCACCTGCAGTTCAGTGACCCGGTAACCTGGGCAGGTACGCCGCTGGGTGCTTCCTGGGCTTATGTTTTCCGCCCAGCCCTCTCGGGCTCCCCTGTCCCCCGTCTTCTAAATGGTAAGGACATTCCCCAGGGTGGGGTTGTTGTTGTTATGTGCCATCCAGTCAGCCCCGACTCATAGTGACCCCATTCTTGAGTTGCCAAGGCAGTATCACTACAGAAGTAGATTGCCCAACCTTCCTTCCGAGGAGTGGCTGGTGGGTTTGAACCACCGGTCTTCTGGTTAGCAGTCAAGTAAGTGCCTTAGGCACTAGGCTACCAGAGCTCCTATAATAGGTTAGGGTGGGGTAGGACTAGCCCACTGGCAGCTCTGTCTCGGGACTCCCCAAAAACCAAACCAAACCCACATCAGGGAGTTGATTCTGACTCACTGACCCCAGACGGAGTGGAACTGCCCCACAGGGTCTCCTAGGCTGTCCAATCTTCACAGAAGCAAAGCCCAAACCAAGCCCACTGCCCTGGAGTTGATTCTGACTCACAGGACCCCTAGAGGACAGAGTGGAACTGGTGGACAGGGTTTCCAAGTCTCTGGTGGCGTTTGACTGCTAACCAGAAGGCTAGCGGTTCAAATCCATCAGCCACTCCTTGGAGGGAAGATTGGGCAATCTATTTCCGTAGTGATACCACCTTGAAAACCCAAGGAGGGGTCGCTGTGAGTCGGATCTGACTTGACAGCAGTGAGGTTTTTTTTTTTTTTCATCTTTATAGAAGCCCAGTGCTACAGTTTTCTCCTGCAGAGCAGCTGGTGGGCTCGAACCCATGACCTTTCAGTTGGCACCCCAGCACTTAACCAGGGCTCCTTCTTAGGACTACAGATGTATATAGGATTTTCTTCCCCAGGCATCTCTGCACCCCACCAGGTGCAGCCTCTTTGGGGGCCTTGGGACAGCTACTATTATCTTGATGTGCCAGGCAGGCCATCTTTCCGGCCAGTGACCAACACTGGTAACAGAAGGGAGGAGCAGGAGGGGGGCGTAGACGCCTTACAGCTGCATCAGACAAGAAACCCCAGAGTCACGGAGCCCTGGGTCTGCAGTGTTAAGCTGCAGTGTCAGGGGGCAGCACAGTTGCCGGCTGTCTTCCCCTGGGACCCGGGGCTGCCTGCTGCTCACGCCGACCCATTTCCTCCACAGCCCAGGTACTCGGCAGGCGACTGTGCTTTCCACGAGGAGATCCGGCCCGACGGCTACAACGTGTACCTCTCCAAGAAGCACGGCCTCCCGGTGTCTCTGAGCAGTGCCAGGCAGAGGCATCTGTACAAAGGCAGGGGTTTCATGCCACTGTCCCACTTCCTGCCCATGCTGCCCATGAAGCCGGCCGAGGCTGAGGAGCAGGAGGGTGACCTGGAGTCTGTGTTCTCGTCGCCTCTGGAGACCGACAGCATGGATCCTTTTGGCATCGCCTCTAAGCTGGGGCTGGTCAAGAGTCCCAGTTTTCAGGAATAACCGAGGCTCTGGGACCCGGGCTGTGGGCCCCTGCAGTGTGTGCTCTGGCCTCGCTCGGACGAGAACAATCTTAGGTTCATGTTCTAGTTAACCGTAGGAAGAAGTGGTTAGAGTGTACATATCTGAAGTTTTTGTTTTCGGTGCCTCTTTCTAGTGCATAGACTATAATCATGAAATCTTGAGTCCTGGCCGCCCAGTGCTACCTGAGTACCCCATCCCACACCCTTACCCTTGTTGGACAAGTTGCTGTTTTGCCCTGGTTCTGCTTGAATACCCCCGCTGACGGGGAACTCACTTCCTTGTGGGACTAAGCTGAAATTGTCTGTAATGCTCTCCATCACTTCCAGCAGGGGCAGCCAGAAGAAAAGGGATCATTTTAAACTCATGTACAAGCTCTGAAATGCCAGGTAAATTTGACTCCACCCCTAAGCTCATGTCTCCATTGATCTCAGCTCCAGCCAAGACAGTAGGCTCTCCCTGAGCCCCTCTAGGCCAGCACTGAGCTGGGCCTGGCATCGCCCGTCGGCTCAGGACGAGGGGCAGCACGGAGCCCCGCCCCCAGCCCAGGTGAACCCCACAGCTGCAGCTCGGGTAGACAACCTCTCCCAGGCCACCTCTCGGCAGTCTGCCCCAGGACACTGGAGGGAGTTTTGCTCTGCCCCCATCTTGCTAGCCTGTGCCTGCCCCTGGCTGACTTCTCACCCAAGCTCAGGGTCTGGTCCCCAAGGATGAACAGCCCCTGTGCCCCCTCCAACAGCTGGGAAAGAAGACAGCCAGTCCTTGTCCCCACCACCCATGACTCAAGATTCCAGGGAATCCAGTGGTCCCGGGTTGTGTGGATTTTGGTGGGGGGTGGGCGCTTTACAAAGCAGCTCTAGCCCCCAGGTCCCCCATACCCTCAGCGCCCCCTCTTTTAAGCTGTGGATCTTGACCTGGAGAGAACATCCTGCTGTCTTGGGGTCACTGCTTCCGTCTCCATGCCTCTGCCCACGTCACCAAGCCTCCCCTGCGTCTGGGTGTCACAATCGCCCTCCTTGGGGACCTGTGCCTTTAATTCCAAAGCCAGCAAGCAGTCTGAAAGCCCAGACCTCAGCAGGGAGGCGTAGAGGCCCTTCCGCAGCACTTAGCTCTCGCCATAGTATTTATGAGTAATTTATTTTGATATGTACGTGGCTTTATTTTCTTACTTTATTTATACCCCAGGTTGTATTTATGTATGTACGTGAGTTTTCTACATTAAATAGGAGTTTGTATCAAAAGGCATGTGTATATTTGAGGGAGATACGGGAGGGCGGGGTGGCGGGGATTGACGCGCCACCCGCAGGGAAATCCTGTTTGCTTGGTGTCTGACACAGTGCGTTTTACACAATTAGCCCTTGGTCACCGGTCAGATGATAACATCTGGACAAGCCGTTGCTGCCCCCTCACAGCGCCATGCAGGTCAATGGAGTGGCGGTGCCCAGGGTTGGGTAGCTGGGCTTGTTGGAGCTCGATCACCAGGTCTCTTCCTCGTAACTCTGGGTGGGCTAAGCCTCCAACTGTCTAGCGAGTGCCAAGCACGTTGACCCATTCCAGCCCCTGCCCTCCGCCCAGAGACTTGGCTTAAATAAGATGCAGCCCAGTGAGGGGTGGAGGCTGGATTTGCACACACTGATGTCCTTTCTTGGGTGCAGCGGTTAGCACTCAGCTGCGAACAGAAAGATTGGCGGTTCAGACCCACCAATGGGAGAAGGCCACTGCAGGCGGCTTCTGTACAGATGACAGCCTTGGAATCACAGCGGGGCTGTTCCACCTTGTCCTCTGGGGGCGCTCTGAGTCGGCATTGACACATGGCAGTGGGTGTGGGTTTGCCCTCTCCTCATCCTGGGTGCATCCTGTCCGCCGAGTCTGAGCGTTGGGGCAGCCTCTGGCAGGAGCTTTCAAAGCCACAGGTTCCTGACGCCCTGCTGTGTGTGGGTCTCCTCACCTGACGTGAGCCTTGGCTGGGCCCAGGACACCTAGGGTTGCCTTCCCGTCCCTCTCTCCCATTTAAGGAGCCCTGGTGGTGCAATGGTTAAGCGCTCAGCTGCTAACCTAAAGGTCAGGTTGGTGGTTCAATCCCATGCAGTCACCCTGGGACAGAAGATGTAGTGATCTGCTCATGTAAAGATTAAACCAGACCAACCCATAGTTTTCAAGTCGATTCTGACTCACAGCGCCCCTAGAGGACAGAGTGGAACTGCCCACAGGGCCTCCCAGGCTGTCAGTCTTCACAGAAGCAGAGTGCCACCACTGTTGCTCCCATAGAGCTGCTGGGTGGGTTTGAACCGCTGATCGTTTGGTTAACAGCTGAGTGCTTAACGGCTGTGCCACCAGAGCTCCTTTTTATAAAGCTTACGGCCTAGGAAACCCTATGAGGCAGTCCCGCTCTGTCATATAGGATCACTGAGTCCGACCTGTTGATAGAGGGCTCAGACATCCCCAGTGCATGGGGTCGCTGTGAGTCGGAGCTGACGCAATGGCTCCTGACGATAACAGCATGAGTCGGACTCAACTCGAAGGCACGCAGTTCCCCCCCTGCCCATCAAGATGCCCGTTTTTCCTTTGAGACCCCCACCATGTGACAGAGCTGATTAAGACCTGGGTGGACTAGTGACACTTGGCAATAGAGCATCCTCTACCCTCTCACTTGACAGATGAGGGCATAGGAACAGAGATGGGCAGGCGCTCACCCAAAGGTGCACAGCCTGGAAGCAGCATGAGGTGGTGGCTGTGGCATCCCAGGACCTGTTGGCTTGCTGGGTCACCTTGAGTAAGGCCCATCACCTCTCTGAGCCTACACGCCTGCATGATACCACCTGGTATAGAACAGAATGGGCAGCTGGCCGACAGCAGCCCCCAGCAAGACTAGAACCCTCTGCCCTGGACGATTGTCACTGGCGCTCAAGTTCGGCAGCACACTGGAATCACTTTGAGAAATGTACCGACAGCTTAGTCCAGCCCTGGAGACTGATTTAACTGGAATGGGTGTCACCTGAGCATGGAGCTTTCTCGAAGCTCCCCTGGAGAGTCTAAAGTGCAGCCCAGGCTAGGAGCCACAGTGAGGGTGAGCAGTCCATCCTTTGTGTTCTGGAGAAAAGCTGCAGGGCAAACATTGAGAGGCACTTCCTGAGTCTCTTCCCTGCAGTGCAGCTGACAATGAGGAGTAAATGTACAGCTGGCAGACTAACTCTTGCTAGAGTGTGGAGGGTTGATAGGTTCTCCTCTCCCAGCCGCATTCTACCGGACCTGGCAGCCCCGAAGCCGTGATGGGCATGCTGTGGATTGCAGGGCTCTCTGGCAGGAGAAGGGGGATTACTTTTTAAGGCTGCATCTTGGCAGAACCCCTGCCCCTGGTTAAACCTGCCTCTGTGTCTTATAGGAAAATGGCCTTACCCTCCTGCTGTATTTTCCATTCCTGCTTTAGGTCCAGTTCTGATGGCCCCTCTGGTTTATATTCAAAACCCAAACCCACTGCTGGCAAGTTGATTCTGACATCTAGCCACCCTGTAGGAGCAGAATTGCTCCACAAGGTTTTCAAGGCTGTCATCACAACCCACCAGCCACTCCTCGGAAGGAAGGTTGGGCAATCCTACTTCCGTAGTGATACTGCCTCGGAAACCCAAGGAGGGGTCGCTATGAGTCGGGGCTGACTCGATGGCAAATAACAACAACAACAACAACAACAATCACTACAGGAGCAGAAACTCCTGGTCTGTTCTCCTGCAGAGCTGTGGGGTGGGTTCGAACTGCATACCCTTCCTTAACTGTTGAGCTCCTCCATAAATGCTCTAAGCCCACTGCTGTCCAGTTGATGTGGACCCACAGCGCCCCTGGAGGACAGAGTGGAACTGCCCTGTAGGGTTTCCAAGGCTGTCATCTTCATGGAAGCAGACTGTCATGGTTTTCTGCTGTGGAGTGGTTTGTGGGTTCCAACTGCCAACCTTTCTGTTAGCAGACGAGTGCTTTAACCACTGTGCCTAAAGGGCTTCTAAACTCTCAAAACCAAATTCACTGCCGTGGAGGCAATTCTGACCACAGCGACCCCCTCTGGGTTTCAGAGGCGTAAGACCTTCACAAGAGCACATTGCCCCGTCTTTCTTCCTCGGAGCGGCTGGTGGGTTTGACGTGCCGACCATCTGGTCAGCAGTCAAATGCCTGAGGCCCTGCATCACCAGAGCTCCTTGGGTTCCTAGATTGAACACATGCAAACACGGGACACTCCGTTACTTTTCCAGATAAATGAGGTTATTAGTATGCCTTCCGCACGTCGCTGGGTGACACGTTCTGCACTCAGCTGCTGACTGTGGGGCTGGCGGCTGGCACCACCGAGGGGCGCACAGCAGAAAGGCCTGGAAATGCTTCCGTGAAGATGGCGGCCTGGGAAGCCGGGGGCAGTTCCCTGACACGTGGAGGGCCGCCAGTGGGAACCGACTCCAGGCACCTGTTGTTTTGTTGGTTTTCGTCCCAGGATATTGGGGGCCCATTATGCTGAAGAATTATCCCCTGATTATGGGAAGTTAAACACAACCAGCCCCAGTGTTTCGGACGGCACCCTGGCGGGAGCCCCACCCCCACCCCACCCGGTGTAAAGCAAGGAGAAGCCAGGCACCGAAGCGACCAGAAGGCCCTGGGTGCACGGTGGCCTTGGGGCACCCAGTTCCCCGTCAGCGCAGTGAGGGGCCTACGCTCCCGGAAGCTGTTGCTTCTCACAGCGGCTCTAAGCGATTGATCGGGAACCGGGACAGGAAGCACCTCCCTGCCATCCTCTGTTGTTGTTATGTGCCCTGGAGTCGGACCCGACTCAGAGCGACCCCTCCTTGGGTTTCCGAGGCAGTATCACTACGGAGGTAGATTGCCCCATCTTCCTTCCGAGGAGTGGCTGGTGGGTTTGAACCCCCAGCCTTCTGGTTAGCAGTCAAGTGCCTTAGGCACTAGGCTACCAGAGCTCCCGCCATCCTCCTAGGAGGGCTGAACCCAAG